TAGAACTATCAAAGATGGTCAAGAGACGCTTAGCGCTCAAGCTTTATTCTTTCTTCCCCCCTCCCAATCATGCGTAGATTCAGCTCTCTAGTCAAGGCTTCAACATCGTCCTCTTCCAGCCGCACCGAATTCTCTGTTGCTCCTCCTATCACCTCCGAGGATCACAAGATCCCTGCCGCCACTGTCCCTGATGATGAGGCTTTGCCTGTACCATCACTCCAGGTTAAACGCGTCGATCTCTACTTTAGTCGATGGTCGAGGAGCTGGACATACCGCGTGAGGATCGATGACGATGACTTATTCCGTGCATTATTTACTTTTAGTCTGCACTAGAACATGAGCTCCAAGGTCGCCGTCGAAGTGATTTCTTCGTTGCAGTCCGGGAACAGCGATCCATGGAAAGACTACAGTTTCGTGTAAGCGACTTAAATGATCTACCTGGTTGATCATGCACCTCAGTTGATTTTCAGGTTGGTTCGTAAGATCCCTAAGATGGAGAATCAAGAGCCTACTTTTAAGATTGTCATCAAGAGTGGTTACATCTTGAAGGCCTGCCAAGATGTTGTTCAGACGTGGCCTGGAATATCTTGGAATGCAGAACCCGTTGAGGTATATCGTAATCATTTCTGTTTTTGAAACCTTGTTAATGCAGTGAATATCTTAGGTTGATCCTGAGATGTTCATCGCCTTCTTTGATAAATTTATAGAGTACCGTGATGGCCTGGTGTCCAAGAATTTGAAAGCTGAACGCGATATTCATATGATCTCCTCCGTCAATCTGCTTCTATCTTCAATTTCTTCGGACTATCGCACAACACTCTCAACGATTAACCGCCTCACCTCCCATGGAGAGATTACATTCGAGCTCTTATATGCCCTGCTCGTTCCTCGTACTCTGTTCGTTGCTACTTGCGCCATCACGGGGAATACTCGCTTGTTCAAACTAGTGTCTGCCACGCGTACCACTATCGATGGAATGGCAGGGTACCAAATACAATGTGAGAGCTACGATATCGTCAATAGATCGAATCAGACTGCGGGTATCGGGAAAGTCCTGGATACGATTTTTCTTGGGTCGTTCAAGGGCGCCACAAAGATTCAAAGCCTAGACGCGTACCCTTTGAAATACCATCCTGACCCGGACAAACTACGCGCAGCTCTACTCAAGCGCGGTAAGAAATGGGTTGGACTTAATGGAGTTCATCATATGCAGTACAGTGGCATTGCTGCATTCAAACGTAGTCCAAGGATCACAAAACACAGCGTGAGTCTATAATCCATGATAAGTTATGTAACACTGAGTTAATGCATGTGTATTTTTCGCACGCAGGTTGACGGTCGAATCATGATTGACAGAGGTAATTAGATGTCTTCGAGGGCGAATGGATGAATTGTTGAATGCTTTGCTCCATAGCCACCTTCCGTCGAATGAATCCCGACTATCAGTTCCCTCTCGAGTACACAGTTCCTACAATGGCCCCTGTACCATACATCCCACCCCAAGTTTCCGCTGATCGTCTACCCAGAAAGCGGTCGCCTCCGTCGCCTGATATCCTCCCCTCACCTCCCATTTCACCAATCATTCCACCAATGGCACACACCTACTCACCTCTTTGGAATCCCTTTGATAGCGGTGCATGATTGTCTTGTATCACACTTGGAAGAGCGCTAAGCAGATGATCTGCACAGGTACTCTGGTGCAATCCAGCATCGCTAATCGAGACTCGTCCGATAACGAACTTACCGACGAAGACCTGATTCTAACATCGACGGTCGTGTATGGGTTCAGTCTTTCTGATAAAATGTGGTGTGCGTGGTCGCTTGATCTTCGCCTCTTCGTTGTTGATCAAGTTCTTGGTCATAGTTGAGTTCGACGTCGAAGAAGTCCGACCCGTGGAATGGAACGAAGACGCATTCGCCAACCTCGTACTTCCGTCGGACCGCAAAGATCTCTTGCGCTCCCTCGTCGAAGCTCATCACCGTGAGCTCGGATTTGATGATTTCATCAAAGGCAAGGGTCATGGTCTTGTCATCAATCTTTTCGGGCCTCCTGGAGTCGGTAGGTCTAAATCAGCTTCAAGTTATTGACAAGTCTTTTTTTGCTCATGTGATTTCTCAGGGAAGACTTTTTCAGCCGAAGCCACCAGCGAGCATGTTAAGCGACCGCTATACATCGTTGGTGGAGGCGACCTTGGTACTAAAGCTGCAAACATGGATACTGCACTTGAACGGATCTTTGATGTTGCGACAGCCTGGAAAGCTATCGTGTTGATAGATGAGGTACAAACGTAACGCATTGGATCAGACAGCGTACTCAGGCAGTTTCTAGGCCGATGTCTTCCTTGAACAACGCTCGCTTCATGACCTAGAGCGCAACGCCATGGTTGCTGTTTTGTAAGTGTAGACGCTATGTTGTGAGAGCTGCTATTCTGAATGCAAGTTTCTCAGCCTCCGCCACGTCGAATACTACCGCGGCATCCTTTTCTTAACCACCAACCGTGTCCAAGCTTTCGATGAGGCTTTCCTCTCTCGAATACATGTTGCTCTGCATTTCTACGAGCTCAGCCAGACGTCAAAGGAACAAGTCTGGACTGCCTTCATCGGAAAACTCCGTGTCTCTCACTCGGTCACCCAAGAACAGATTAAAGAGCTGGCCACGCGTAATATTAATGGTAGACAGATCAAGAATGCTGTTCGGACGGCACAGTCACTTGCCATTGGACGCGGAGAGACGATCGAGTATCGCCATTTTGTGGAGACGCTGGATGCAATGGATGAGTTTACGAAGGAGTTTGAGGTTGTTACTAGGAAGTAAATACGTTACAATATTGTGTAACAATGTTGTATATCAGCCATACCCCGCAATCCGTGAATACACTAATGTTTGATGAGCACTGGCTAGAGGAATTCATTCCGGCGTGAACCATCCTCAACGAGTTGGCGCATCAGGTCGGAATGACTTGCGACGGTTGTACGGTCCTTCCTTCGGGCACTGTTGGTGTTCAGAAGATAAAAAGCTATCTGTCAAGTGCTGACAGACGTCATGAGCCCAACTGACATTTGTAACCGAAAGGAATGGGAATCAGGCGCATTGAAGGAATGGTGTTCAAAATATATGCATTCCCGCTAAAAGGACTTAAGAATGTATTTACATGTGTAGAACTTCTCATAATCACACTTAATTCTAAAAGCCTAACAGCAGGCTTACACCAGCTTCAAACCTCTGCTACCGTCCACAGGAACCTTGCCAAACAAAGAAAATAAATAATCCCGACAACATGCAAGGCGCACTGCATAAAAAGCATGATGCCATTCGGCTCATAGTAGCATATCATAAACACTATAACATGACGATACGATGATAAAGCAGACTGTCCAGCGAATCTACCCATCTTTTGACTCATTGACCGACCACATCATAACCAGCTTAGAGCTTGTTGACAGCGGCCGCAGACACGCTCTGGCCAGAAGCCTTGACACGCTTGCGGAGCTTGGCGGTAGACTTGTTACCACGAATACCTCCACCCCATTGACGGCGTTGCTCCTCATACTTATCGGAGCTAGAGAACACAGCATCGTCAGCGACTCGAGCACAAAAGATGAGTAAAGGTCGGCATACAAGTTGGCCTTGGCAGCAGAAACGAGGGTGGCAAGGTCGCGCTGGTCCTCGCTCTTGACTTCCTGGAGAGCGACAACGGCGGCAGTCTTCTTGTGGACAACGGTGCCGAGACGAGCCTTGCCCTTAACAATTACGTAGGGGACGCCCATTTTGCGGCAAAGAGCGGGAAGGAAGACGACAAGCTCGATGGGGTCGACATCATGGGCAATGACAACAAGGGAAGCCTTCTTGGCCTCGACGAGGGCAACAATGTGGTTGAGACCGTACTTAGCGAAGAGAGGCTTCTTCGAGTCCTATAACATCTCCGGTGAATACAAGAATGAAAAAAATGCAAATATACGCCAACCTTGGCCTCCTTATTCTCGGCAGCCGCAGTAGCAGCAGCCTCAAGACGAGCCTTCTTCTCCTCCTTGGATTCCGGGCGGTACTTGTTCAGAAGCTTGAACAACTGAGTAGCAGTGTTCTTGTCCAAGGTATGAGAGAACTGGGCGATTGCAGGAGGAACCTTGAGACGCTGGTTAAGGATGACCTTCTGGCGCTGGAGGCGGACGTATTCAGGCCATTTGACGAAGCGGGTAAGGTCAGTGGTAGGGCGAATGTCCTGGCCTTCAGGATTGTCAAGCAAAATGAAATACCGAAAAGTCATGCAAACTCACCAATACCAAAGTTCTTGGGGGTAGCTTCGAAGAGAGGGTTCTTTTTGGCCTTGGTGGCCTTGCTGGCGCCGAAAGGCGCAGCAGCGGGCTTCTTTCCAGTTCCGGATTTGGCCTTGGGCTGGTCATTGAGACGAAGTCAGCAATGGAACTAGATATAGTTGACATTGCGCCTCGGAGCTCTAGCGTCGTACTCCATTTAAAGTGAGCACGACCCAGCATAAAGTCCATCATGGCCTGGAGGCTCAGGACTACTCAAAATATAGACCACAGAGTCAATATCTTGCATTGCTGGGACAGTTCTAGAAGGTCTGTAAGTTAGTCCGTCAAGGTAATCCAAAGAAAAGACTTGCCATCCATCTCATAATGCGTCGTTTGAGAGACTTCAAACCGCCGATGCTAGAGCCCGTCCTCGCGAATGTGGAATGCTCACCATTTTCGGCCGTTCGTGTCTTGAGGAAGTCGGCGAGAAAGGGTGTGCTTGAAGAAAACAACCAGGTCAGATTAAAGTTTCTACTTCTTCCAAAGTGATCGGCATTTGCCGATCTACTGGCTGTTCCGCGGCGTACCCACTTATAACTTATAAGACCAAGGCTATGGTATTTAGACCGCTGTACATGTACATCTTCTCCTTCCCATGCAGCGGCATGTCTGTATCACTATTGTCATCTTCTATCTGTACAATCTTCCATAAAGACACGCCATTATAACACGTAGCTCGTTTATGTGGGGGCATAGCTCAGTTGGGAGAGCAGCAGACTGAAGCTTTCATCATTTCTGAAGGTCCCGCGTTCAATCCGCGGTGCCCCCATGATTCTGGTCTTTTTTCCCTGATTCCGTAGTCTTCCTGTACCACGAGCAAGAACGCCATGTCCTTCCTTTTGCAAAGACCTCTGCTAATCCATGCTACTCAGGTTCTCCGCTTGTCTTGACGCCTTGTTTAGGGTTCTTTGGGAGAGAAAATCTGGAGCCAATTTAACTTTTTGAATGGTTGTCGGAACCCGTTGAGCAAAACAAGCTTCGAAACGCTACCTAACATTACAGATCACGTCAATGGTTACGAAAGAATAACTGACTTGCAAGAGGCCTTTATCATAATTCGTCACTGTTCACCCAAAACGAGGACGGCCAGGATTCTGGAAGGTCTGACATGACGACAATGGAATGGCGGCAAGTCAAAAGTGCTACCACTGTCCTCTCTAACTGGGACAATGCGTTTACATCCGGCCACTTCTGGTATAAATGCCTAGCATTCTCTGAATGAGGGCTCTTATTATATCCTTATTCTCTCCTGCGAGTGAACTCTTGGCGTACATCCTTGACTGTTCAACCTTTGTTCAATCACGACGTAGGTTTTTTGAGATTTAACCATAAAGACTGACTAATGAGGTCGATAACTATAGAATGAGTTCCCCGTCGACTGTCCCCCCTCCGTCGCTGAGTCCAGTGGTAACACAACAAGCGGTGGCGGCCTCTCCCATTTCCGAAATCCCTATCGACATCCTCTTAGCAATATTTGAAACTCTTGTATTAGCTTGGGACGCTGTACAAATTATGCCCATCCTCCTCTCCAGGGTTTGCACACGCTGGCGCGATTGCGTAGTGAACTCCCCAACCCTCTGGTCAACCATTCGCACGTACGAAGTCCTGGACCTCACGACGGTCTCTTTCGACCACGAGATCAAACGCGTCAAGACGTTCCTCATGCGGTCCAAAGGTTGTCTGCTTACGATTGATATCGCCATATACTCTTATCTACGCCATGAGGGAGAGGAGAATGCGTACGCGGATAGTCTTCCCGAATTTCATGCCAGGCTCCATGAGTTGTCTCAGGCGCTTCGTATACATGCCCATAGGATCAAGAGCTTAATGTTGGTGGTTGACGAATACCAATCTACTGCCAGTATCTTGAGCAGTTTGAAGGATGTCGCCATGCCGATGCTGGCCCACTGGGATGTACTGAGTATATATGACCAGAGCTGGGGTGTTGACGACGAGGATCTTGAGGACGAGGAAGTCCACGCGCATTCAGTTCTTCTCCATCCATCCAACGAACATTGCGTATCTTTGTATCCTAATCTGCGATCTGTTTCACTGCACGCCGTACCACATCATTGGTCTCGGTTCTCTCCAAGCAACTTGGTTATGCTAGAAATCAAGATGATTCCTCTCAAGTGGCGCCCCTCCGCGCCCGCCCTAATGCGTATTCTCAGGGCCAATGCACACTCTCTTGAGAGACTCATGCTTTCGGTGGCACTTCCTCCTGATGCTTACGACGCCGAAGTAATTCCCTTACCAAACCTCGAGTTGATTGAATTCGGGTTTACCCACACCTCTGAGGTCATATCCCTTATCAACGCCATCGAGGTCCCGAATCTTCGAGTTCTGATGATATGTGATAGCCGCCGCGAATATCTCCACCCTACCGACCGTTGGAAGGACTCTGACTTCGACGCAGGTATCACTGATCTCTTTGCCGTCATTGCCAGTCGTTTCCCCCTTAGCCAACTCACCGAGATGAAATTACGCCACATCGCACTGTGTCCCATGCCCTCTCCCACACCCGAGCTCCTAACTGACCGTATGGACATCGCAATCGACTTCTTCTGCCGTCTCGAGAACCTGAATTTCCTCGCGATATATGACTCCGACTTCGTCACTCTCGATGCGTTGAATCGTGTTAAAAGACGCGTCCAGGCTCACCCACCAAAGTTCCCTGTTCCAAAGTTGACGTTCTTGCAGATTACGGATACGAGGTATAAGATCTTACAACATTTTCTATGGCAGAGGTTGGGCGGTTCAAAGGTATACAAGCCCCTTGATTCGCTGGTCATTACTATGCCGAGTCACTGGTATCAGACATCAAAGTGGGACACGATGAATACAAAGAGGCTTGCGCAAGAGGTGTTTCCGCTGATCTCGTGGCTTAGTCCTGATGAAGAGCAACAGCTGGCTGCGACGTGATCGGGCTGTCACTCCATCTTTTCACTTTCTACTTGTTGTCACTCTTTCTATATATGTATCCATGGAATCATTATTTATGTCGCAATGATATGATATGCTATGACTTGGCTTCTCAATGCCACAGGCTTTTATGGGCGTGGGGATGGTATCTGACTCCTGGACCTTTGAAGGTGTACTTACTAATTGGACGTGTTCTTGAATGTTCCGAATCCTCAGGCAAACCTAGGACGACTTAGATGCAGCAAGGCAAAATTACGTGGCCCGCAGGCGATCAAATCACCTGAGGACCACGTATCTTTCCCTTGTTGACTCGTTCGTAAGTTGGGCAAAGTATTCAGTTCCATATTTGTGCTATTAAAATTGAGGTTACATCTTACGTTGCATGAAAGCCGAGAGATAGTCCACTACCTCGTCGACTGTAAGTCGATCGGAAGGTTTCTCAGTCCAGCAGCCTAGCGCCAGAGACCAAATCTGGTCTGGTATCTGCGCATCCCAAACAGGATGACTACCTTTGACGATCAGAACCATTGCTTGGTAGTCGGTTGACTCAGAATACGGGATTCTACCAGTATAGATCTGCTCGATTTCTCTCGTCGGAAAACGCAGCATAAATACCACAGCCACGTCCAGCTTACCTCGTACAAGACCATTCCGAATGAAAAAACGTCACTCGAAAAAGTTGGTCGTGCTGATTTGCCCGCCTCTGGGCATAATCGCTCCGGAGCCATGTAACGATAAGTTCCAGCGTCGGAGCCTATTTTCAGTATCAGTATAAGATAAAAAAGGGCAGACCTCGTATCGTACCATACCGTGTGTCAGTAAACTCATCGCGTCCGTCGAAACCAATCTCATAGCCCTCGTATTCGGCGAGCCCGAAATCCGAGATGACTGGAACGTGATCATCGTTGACAAGGATGTTCGTCTGAAAAAAAGTCAATACGTGAATGATGAGGGTATACGGTTAGCTCACTCCTTTGATGTCTGAATGTATAACCCCACAAAGTTTAAGATGGCTTAGGCCACATGCGATCCCTTCAGCCTTTGCAAGTCATGAATTTAGACCTCAATCATGATCTAATGCGAAGCGTACCATCTTTAGTCTGTTTGCGCTGGGATTTTTTCTCAAAAAGTTAGGTAAATCTCCATTCCTGAGGTATGGAGTTATTATTGCAAATCCAGTGACGTTATCAATAGCACCGAGGAACGAAATAACATTTTGGTGGCGCAGGGAACTAATAAACATAGCCTCTTTGATGAAGGTCTGTATGGATAATTGGGTTAGAAATCAGTTCCCTTATTCGAGCCACTATACTAACCTTTCTAGCGTGAGATTTTGAATACAAGAATTTTTTTACTGCTACGGCGCCCCTCCCGGTTCTATATAGGAATACATTTGCTGAGCCACCTGATCCTATCATAGGCGCGCCTTTGTCCAGTACATGTATATTGAAGTCCCGGCCTCGCAACATATAAGAAGGGATTAATGATGTCGCCAAAGCGGCTTGTAGTGGGAGCCGATACAGACGGAGTCTCTGAATGAGCCCATCAGGCTGGTGGCCGACTGACTGCTGTCGTGGTAGCTGTTTGACATGATCGTCAAATACCATGAATGTGATGTGACTTACCTCATAAAACGCGTACAGAACGTCTGAACTTGATTGCGGATTGTCACGCTCGAGCGACTCAGATACAGGCGGGTGGTCAAGGCATTCGATCAATGTCTGACTGGGCATACTATGGTGGGGCGAGACTACTGATTCGAGGCAGATGAGGAAACGGGTAATAAAGGACGACTCAGAGTTGTTTCCTCGACGACTCGGGCCGACTGACAGCGATCCCTTTTTTCGGCTTCCTAGAGTGATCCTCAGAAGAGAGGTCACCACGTCAATACGTACATGTTGTGGCGAAGGTAGTTACAGCTATTTTCATAACATTAAGCCCCTTGTCTAATAATCGTACGACACTTAAGGCAAGCAAGCCATTTGAAAAGAGAAAGTATCCATCTGTTTCCCTGTACACTCCAAGGCCCAATGTATGGACACATCAATTCCCATTGTATTTTGAAGCAAGTTTTGAAGCTTTTGAAGTTTCGATCTTCTCAGAGCTACATTACCAGTCCGACGAAATGTTATCCGGACACATTTGATGACTCAGATGCTGACACCAGTGATTTTCTAGTTCAGCTTGTATCAAGACTTCTTAACGAGTGCAAGTTGTAAAATCAGTTTCTTCAGCTCTCTCGATGAGTATGCGACAACTCATGGAGGAAGTAATGGTGATTAATTTTACATGAGTAACCACTCTTCGAATAACCAAAAGTCAAAGGGGCTTGTCAAGTAACTTCTGTTGGCCCTCGGCATGATCAAAGTGTTCTTTATTCACGGATAGGTCCTTCAGCCTCGGAATCAATCGTTCTATTTGGTGAAGTGTTATAAATGAGCTAACAAAGTGCGACGATTGTAAGGAACGTTCTGGTGGATAAAACCACCGTTGTTGGACGTGGACGGCGTCATTGTAGACCGAGTGGGAGCCGTAGCATGATATTGCTGACCACGGTCCGGCAACGAAGACCTGTAATGTGCTTTCCCAGAGTGATCTACGACTATGCCTTGGGAAGCAAGGAAAGAGTAGAATTTTTCACGAAAGTCAGCAAGAGCGGCTTTGCTCTTGAGTTATGGATTAGGAATGATCAGCTCAATGTGGTACTGAGCAATCGATCACTTGCTAGGGCAACTCACCCTCAGCCACTCGGGAGGCTTTTCACCAGAGCCAAGGCACTTTAGCTTCAAACGAACACAAGTCGCACATCTGCCGTGCTCATCGGTGTGCCCTTCGCATTTCTGTGAT